ATCAGTCACAAGAACGTTGAATCTGAATCACTTGAAAAAAACACAGGGGTGCTTAACTTTTTTCCAGGTGTATATATGCAGCATAATCAAGAAGGATCTCTGTCTAGAAGTCATAATGCACACAACATGTTTCCACAACATAGTTGTTCAACCGTTGCATACATACCTCAAGCAGCTGGAGAATGAAATGGTATTCATGCTACTTCATACAAGACACACCCATGATGTCGCTGAATGTAACACCTATGGATGTCTGTACAATCACTGTTGTCCTTATACACTTTGAAAAGCTACAACTTATGGAAAGTTGGGAGGAATGGTGTGCTTTAGACATGACAACCTTATAGCAGAGCCTTTTGCAATGGAAACTACATTTCAAAGCTATTGTCAAGGTTCACAGTCATCAGATCTAGAGGATGACTGGATGTGACAACATGGACCAAAGATGTGGTGAGGCTCTAAAATTTTAATATTTGTAGCAGCTCAACATTTTAAAAATATCTACTCCTATAAAACTTTAGACAACATAATGAATAAAACACTTTATTACAATCTTAAAATTAACTCCATGTTTTGGTGCTCTTAGAGCACCATCATTATAGTGCTGCAAGTTTAACATCCTTATTAAGTTGTGTAATCTTTTATATTAAGTTGCATAAAAGACAGTTTGTTTAATATCCACTCATGTCCTCACATACAAATAACCTTTCTTCCTGCTGAGCACACATTCTGTACTGGTAAATTAAATTTAAATAGCTCAATTCAACTCTACAGTTTAATATCTAATTGAAGTATGCAGGAAAAGAAAAACAATATGAAGTCTTAAATACATACTTAATCTAATAAACAAATTATATATGTATAGAAGTGAAACATGCATTTCAAGGTAGAATTACTACCAATGTAAAAGTTGAACACTATAGTTACTAATTCATAAAAAAATAAAGGAGGAGACAGAATAAATGCAAAACAACTGATCTGGCTTTTATTTATGGGCTTATAAAATCAGAAACTGAATAGCGTGCGAGATATTCTTACTACTACTGCTGCACATATCTGTATGGTTAAACCATAAATCTATTATAATAATACTCAGTTTTTGTATCTCCTGAAAATGTGCACATACACCATACTATCTGAATGAGCATGCATGTGCACTTCCATTTCAAAAGATGTGAACAAAAAGTGGATGTAAATATACTTTAGTAGACATTTTGTACAACATATAAAAGCTTAAGGATTTTTAAAAAGGTCTAATGTTAGGTCATAGAATAACATTACAAGTTTATTTACTGATACTATTAAGTATGATAAAGTTTATCCCTAATTAAATTAAAGCAAAAAAAATGTACACAAGCTAGTGTTTATTTATCTCTATCGATTACAGATCATACTTAATAAAGGCCTAAGACAAGAGGACTTATAGATTTTGGTGTCTGCAATTAGAATTCTTTTGTATTATTCTAGAAATCTTGTATTTAAAGAAGTACTGTTGCAATAAAGATACTAATTTGACCACAAATGTTTTCCTGGTCTCTGCTGGTGTTCTTATAACCTGTAAATATTCTGTTATGGTATTTCTCTTAAATACTTTTATGGCTTTCAATGAATTCATTTACTTCTTTCCTGAAAATAATGCCCCTATAATACACCCAAAATTATACTTTGTTTGCAAATTTAAGAAATACTATAAATATTGTATATTCCTCTAGATAAGATTGTTTTGTTGTATCACTTGCTTAAGCTCACCCAAGTCACCATCACAAACCTAAATATTTCCAGTTATACCAGAATAAAATTGTATACACACACACACAAACACATTTACAGACTTGAAGTAAAAATGGCATGTTTTCAATTTTTGTTCACTTGATATAATCAATGAAATTTACAGTATAAAAAAAATAAAATGTTAAATTATTTCCTGAGTTCTTGTTGTTCTTTCCATAATTTTAGTCCCCCAAATAATGTTGCCAGTACTTCAATCATGTTTAACATTTGTTTGTTTTGGATATCTGCACCAGAAGGAAAGTAGCTAATTAACAATGTCAACTGCCAACTCTTGAGCTAATCTAATCAGATAATAAGACCTGACTATGTGGAGCATGATTTCGTAATAACAGGATGTGAATTACGGCTCCTCTAAATCACAGTCTGGCATCAGTCCACATCTAGCTTCAGTTTGTTCTTACGTTGCTACTATAATCAAACAGACCACTTTTCAGCTAGAATCTATTACAACTTTTGTTAGTTTTGATGAGCATATATTTATGTGGACTTAACGTGCTGAGATTTTATAGTAATTACAAGCAGAATAATTTTGTTAATATTGCAATAATTATAAAACTTAAAGCAAAAGTGTGTGTCTGTTTATAACTGGACAATTATTGAAACCGATTCTCAACAAACCTGGTTTCAGAACTGGCTCCCTGTGCACTGAACAGGTAGGTCAGCAAGATGTAAAGTATAACAAAGTTTTATCCAAAAATAAAAGTAAGCTATTTTTAAACTAGGAAAATTTAACTAGTTTGAGTTAATATTGTTACTAAAAATTAAGAAATAGGAAATTTGATTATTTTATCTTCTAAAAGTGGACATCAGAAACCGTTGATCTTTAACTATAAATATTAAGTATTGATTTATTTATTTTTTTACCAGGTGCATTTTTGCATTGTATATAAATTAAGCAAGAAGCTTTACTGGAATGATTCATCTTAATTTTGACAAATGTCCATCTATCATTTCTGGTTGATTAAGAAAAAATATGCTGAAATTAGAATTATTACCTGTAATTCAAAGCTTAAACAAATACTGACTTAAATTGCTAATCTTGTTGTTAATTATACATATACATGAATTGGTACGAGTCATTTGATAGAAACTGTGTATTGGTGCTACGTTGTAAAAGGAGGGTGTGTTAATTGCTGTTTCCAAGTTTTGAATTTCCAGCCAAGACAATATTAACAAAAAATATAAAGAAATTAAACAAGATTAAATTCATATTTTGAGTCTATACTTTGCAACAAAATTTACTTAATGCAAAACTGCAGAGGGATGGGCATGGTCTTATGGTTTGTGAATCTAAGGGTCTATGGTTATGGTCAAAGCTATTTGATTAGAGCAGCCCACCAGTTGCAGGTGGGGTGCTATTGGTTAGCTGCCTTCCCTCTAGTCTGTCAGTTCCAAATTACGGACAGCTAGTGAAGATAACCAGGATGCAGCTATACACAAGAACTAAGTTGAATGCAGGAGATTAATGCATTAAAAAGACTAGCTTAAGTACTAGATAAAACAATTTTGGTATACATTTATTTAGTCTATGCAAAAGTTAGGTATTTATGTTTATTATAGTATTTCTTGAATATAAACTTACCATTGTACAACCTACTGCCAGTATTTAGTTAAAGCCATGACAAATTTTTTTTAAACTTCACAGTTAGTAAGAACATTTTCTTGTAAGGACTCAAATTTAACTATACACTAGCAGCAGAATTAGCTGGTTTTCATTCATTAACGTTTTTTACTGCTTTATTACACGAGAAAGATAAAAACCTTTCTCTTCATTGAATCCCATGTCTTAAGCCTCATTTATCAAATTAGGTTGGTAGTAGCATAACTGTCTTGTGCATTCTTTATGTAAATGTATGAACAAAGTTACAGTAATGAGCATACTTAAAAACTTTTACTCAGTAATAGTTAAACTTGAACAGAATGATAATACTTAAACAATTTTTAGACAGCCATGTTTAAATAAAAAGAGAAGGCAGATTAGGTAATGTTTCCTCTGAAAATATTTCTTTGAAAGTATGTGAAAGGAATAAGAAAGTATTCATAAACAAGTTTTGAGTTGTTTTTCTTTAGTTTATAACAGAAATTATAGAACATTAATCAAATCTAAAACAGATAATTACCATTTCATTATTTGAGTAATTAAATAACAGAGACAGGACAATGTATTTTTATAAACAATAAAATTGTTATTTTCTTTCCTGTAACACAAGTCCACTGTTTAAAAAAAAAGTTACAGTTTGTGTAGCAGAAGCACATACTGCCTAGATTTAACATGAAATTTCTTTGTACAATCTTAAAGATGGTTACACACACACACACACACACATTTAGTTCCTCTGTTCACTCTTAATAAGGTCCTACAAACTAACAATAAAATTATATTCAGACATATTAAATACATTTAGATGTACAAGGATTTAGTCTGCTCACTCTGTATTCATACCATCAAATCTTAAACAGCACACACATATCATCTGTTTGATAAAAATAGATTTTCAGCAAATAAATTTTGTATTTGAAAACCAACAGAATGAAACTTCTAACTTTTAATTTTTGATCACATTAAAATTCAGATGAATCTTTTAATTAAAAAAAACATTTGAAAGAGTCATGTTAATAAATTATTTACATTAATAATGTTAGAAAGCTACAAGTTTGGATATGACCATATTCAGAATGAAAGCAACATAGCTATCATGGCATAAAAGTTTCCACCTAATTGAAGATTCAATTACTGGTTTCGTTAAAGCAATTAATTTTTTTTACCATAAACTATCTACTCTGAGATTTTGATAAATAACTTCATGTATTTATGGTTTAATTTATAAACTTATTTAAGATGTCAAGAATTCTCACAACAAATACTAAATTTTATATACTTTTCCTGATTTGAGAATCAAAAATGTATATTAAAAATATCCCCTTTTACATTTTGCACTTATAAAGCCATCAATAAAAATCCCCATAAAACGTACTCAACTTAAATTTGACAGAATTTCATCTTCCTTAATTCACATTACGAACTTGATGATGTGGTATTCTTGATTTGTATGTCAATAACTTCATAAATTTTGTTATTCATGTTCTGCTATATTTGGAAGAAATTAAATCTAAGGAACATAATGAGATAAATCCTGAACTTGTTTTTAAAACAGAAGTTTCAACAATGAACAACTACTAATTCTTAGAGAATGCTACAAAAACTGTTAATAAAATACATAATGTTATTGTACTAATACTAGTAAACTGTTTAGCTTATATTTTGTGTTAATTTTATACAAAGGCCTTTATTACTGTGGCAAACACACACAAACAAACAATGTCTTAAGTAACAAGGATTTGTTACTTGCACATATAAAAAACAGAAAGGCCAGTTTATTGTAGAAACATTGTACCTAATATGTTACATGATATCTAAGCATGGGATCACGTATACTAGCTTCATTAATTGTCACTAAATTTGCATTTTTCTTTTATGCTTGTTTCTAACTATCTAGTAATTGAACCTATATTCCTAGGAAATTAAATTTATGCATAATGTTTGGTTGTTTTAACTATAACATTATTTCTTTATACCTGAAAATATTTTTTTTTTTTACATTTAGTACATGTTTGCCAGAATATAATAATATTCTATTTCTTTTGGAACATTGAATTTTCTTTGTTTACTTTTAGTATTTTACTCAAATTTACTTTAAATAAATCTGGAATCCAACTGTTAAAATATAAATTTGTAAATATTTAATTGTGATACACTTCATATTCATTATTATTAAGTACTAGTGTATCACAAAAAGCAAGTTGATATTTCCAAGCCAACTTAAGATATTTATAGGGTGGTTTACATTTTGAGACTTACCAAAGTTGACACGAGTTTCTGTAACATATTTTCAATAATATATAGGCTTGAAGCTCAATGGGCTAATTTCCAATCACTGTTTTCCATAAAGGCAGTAGATGGTGCTAACCTTGAGCTCATTGCAGTTCCATCAATTTGATCATGTATATTGTTATTAATTAGCAAATGAGATTCCTTGGTAGTAAATCCTAGTAATTACTGGAGAAAAATGTATCTTGAAAGGCTTACATCTTCACTTTGATATCAAAGGTCAACCATTAATTTTAATGCATCTTTCTAGGGAATGTTAGTGTACAAATATTCTAGGTCAAAACTTTCACGTTACATGTTCTTACCAAATTGCAAGTTTTTCATTTTTTTCAAATATATAATGTTCTAAAGACTTAACCAAAATAACTGCTAATTCCCGATTATATGTCTCCATGTTAGAAACTACTGATATAACCAATCTTTATAATTTTAGGGACTACTTACAAAATATCTGAATGACCACCCAATATATGGTATTAAATGTAATTATTTGGACAACATTAACAGTTTTAAACAAAATTTTATATTTGAAAACATAAGTATAATATTAACAACAAAATACTAACTGTAAAAAAAAAAAAATTATACGATATTTCTAGAAACTTTTCATAAATTATTTAAGAGTTATTTAAACCTCACAATAGATGACAATGTTTTTTTCAGTAATAATGACGGTGTTTCATAGATAAAAACACTTAAGGTGATATGTGAATTTAAATATCTTCTATGTAACTTTAGGTTTATAGGTTCAACCACTAGGTGGTTAGAAACACATAAAAAATATGCAAATTTACATACATAGTTAATAAACAGTGAAAAATTACATTAAAATTAACTTTCTTTAATATACAAATGGCTCCAGATTCATTAGAAACCTGTTTTATATTACACTAAATTTCACACAAAAAACATAGGTAGTAGTTAGTCAGTAGGTTGCCAGACTGACTTGTAGAAACATTAGCGTTTCTTACCTCACAAAAGAAGAATGTTAGTAATACCCCAGTCATGCTGGAATGACATGAAAATACCCGTTTCAATACTTTGTCATGAAAAAGAAATTATCTTCAGAAACAATTTGTATAGCCCTTTGAAAAGTAACATAAACGGAACAAAAAATTAGAGGTGAAAAAAAAAACCTTAGAAGTTATTTCTAGTAACAAAAATACAACAAATGTGAGGGTTGTAAAACTACAGTTTAAAAGTTCTTTCTAATTTGTTTATAATTGTGTGTCTAGGATTTTTTCTCCAGTAAGGTCAAAATTTTCATAATAATAATAATAAGAAAAAAAAGAAAACTTAAGGAAAAATATATAGATATACTTTGTTTTTATGTTAGGAACACTTCACTTAGTGAATTTTGAACAATATTGTTGAACCAGAAACCTCACGAAATGTAGATAATTTCCATTTTCACTGCCCTTTTTATGTGCCTAGTATATCAACTTTTTTAAAATTCAAATCTTTATAAAAAAAAAAAGTTCACAACAGTCAGATGCAAAATCTTTATAATTTTAAATATACGTATCACTGCAATCCAAAATACATTCCAGAATTGCATTTTCATGCTGTTAAAACACTGCAGTACCTCTTGTTAGTTTGTTTAGTATTCTAAACATAATTTATTTAAAACAAAATTTAACTTAAATAACTGGCACAATGACAGTCAGTTCTGGCTTCTCTGCAGTTGTTCAAAACAAAAATGTCTTGTAGTAAGGACTCCCTTCTTACTGTCTAAAAAGAACACAAAAATAACAATTGGTAAACTACTCAAAGATTATGACTTAAAAAAAACCAACTTTTGTTTAGAACTAGTCAGCTTGTAATGGCTTGTCTGTCATCATCAGAGCTGCCTCCCATTGTTATGTGATACCGATTTGGGGAAAACATGTCTTCTTCATCGGACACTTCATACCTAAATTAGAGAGAGAGAGAAAAAGGCTTAAAGAGAAATTCAACATACCACCAGTTAAAGTTTTTGCTATAATTTAAATACTTATAAATGCTACAATATGCAGAGTAAGGCAAAAAATTACTATTCAGTTGGTACTAAAGAAAATGTTACAGAATAATAGTTCGAAATTAAACAATGTTCTTTATGGAACAAATTTGTAGTCACTTTTTTCTCACCCTGTATACACTTATCAGTTTGTTTTTTGTTTTTGTTTTGGGGGGGGGGAGCTAGTTACTCTGGTAAAAATAGATTTAATGAAAAAATTATTATACATTAGAATGCCATTGCTGAAACTATATCCTAACTCAGTTGTGATTTACTCTTTATTAAGTATTGCAATCATAAAACAATAGGTTATGATATTTATTAAACATAAATTGTTTAATGTGTTGTAGTAAAAACATTGATCAAAAAGTTTGGTTTAAATTACTTTTACCCTAAACATTACTTTAAAAATAACATAAAATACTGTTTACTTTTATTTATTTTCCCATACCATGGTTTCTCTGTTCTTTCAGGTCTTACTCCAAATTTGGTCTTCTTTACCTGTAGATAAGATAATTAGAGAAATATTAAATATGGTCAACAATGTATGCATCCAATGATATTTCATTTTAATCCTTTTTTTTAAGTGATGACAAAAAATAGAAACATCAATGTAAATAAATATATAAATTGGAAAAACTTGTACTTTTAGAAATGAGGTTAAAAATAACAAGTATTTCTTATTCTCCATTTTACATCAAAATACTAGTAACACACAGCATTTTGTTTTTATAATGCTTTCCTCATCCAGTAAAGTAGTGTGTAATAATAATTACAGACTAAAAACAAACGAATTGGCTGGACAAGGAAATAAAAAAACATTTTGTAGTACCTTTTAATATTTATTCACAGCTCAATGACAAAAGTCACAAACATTTTTTACAATAAATATAATAAGTCCTAAAATCCTATATGATAAATTTAAGTCTTAAGTTCAATGAAATATGCCAGGAATGCCAAAAAATTAAGATTTCTTGTATATTCTCATTTAATTTCATTATTACAAAAGCAAAAGATGTAATATCTATATCCTATAACCTAAGTGCTTTCAAAATGTGAACCTTTCAAAAGTGTTTGGGTTATAGAATATCATATCTTTGTGTTAAATTGATTTTTTAAACTTGTCTTTCTAACATCACCAAAAGAAAAACAATTTGGTATAACCTGGATGATGTCAAAGTTTCTGATGATAGAGAGAAACCTCATCCTAGACAGTGGAACTGTTTCAATTTATTAACACAGCAAAAAATTCACAGGCTTGTGGAGTAACTGGAGAAATGCTTTTTTTTTTAAACAATATTAATGAAGATGGCTAGACTTGTGTGCTAATGTAGTATCAACCAAACAGAAAATAGTCTTTAAATTTCTTCTGAATAAAAAGTGGGTACACTCCTCACTTTGAAAACAAAACTTAATTTTTTTTCTCTATTCCCAAGTAAAACAATAAATATACAAGAAAAACCTTTCATTATGTTACAAGAGTTTTAACCACAGTTAGAGGATATCAATTTGGAAAAATTCTTCTTGACTGATAACTGTTGAAACTCGGTTATTGGTGTGCAAGACATTATGTTAAAAGGCATTAAAAAACTTCTGTATACCATTTAATAATAATTAAGTGTTTAAGTATGAACAAAAGCTATTAATACAATGAAGATACATGGTATTAAATGTCTCACCTAGGTTTAATTGAATTATGGTAGCATAGAAACTTGGTCATTTATCTTTTTTTTATTCATACAATACATATTACTTAGTTTTTCTTAATTATAAAACATAAGTTATAAATTACATTCTTTTATGATGTTCCTGTAATAACACAAGGTAAGATACTTAGATGTGCTGCTTATTTTATAACAATTAAAAATAGATTATTAAAATGCTTTTTAAGTTGATTGAAATAAAAGTTTCACGTTTCAGACGTAAAAAAGGTGAGATTTTTCGGTTTTTTTAAATATAAACTTGAATGAATAAATTTAACATCAAAATGCTTCACAGAAAGTAACTTTTAGCAAACCTGAATATTATATACTTTCATGAAGCTACCATGTCTTTACCTTAATTTCTTTTCTATGCTCTGGTTCTGGGGAGTCACTGTTCTTTTCTTGATCACTTTCATGTCCAGTGGACAGCACCTTCTCTGCATTATCTGTCTTAGGAACCTGGGTGATGTCCACTATAGCTGCTGTCTTTACCTCCATGGGTTCCTTAATGGGGACAGTAGTAAGAGAAGTAGATGATTCACGGTTGACAATTTCTTCTATCTTGCCAAGGTGATGAAGATGTCTTGTGCTTTCGGTTTTTGAAACATCACTTGGAGGTGACAGAGCACTTTCTGTTTTAGAAACCTCACTTGGTGCAGGTGATTGTCGTCCAGCTGTAGAAGAATCTGGAGTTATTAGAAGTTCTGATGAGGCAGAAAAAGCTTTTCTTAAAGGGAATTCTGAGGACTTGTCATTATCTTCAGAATGAGGAGGGGATTCTACCCAAGAGGCTGAAGATGCTGGGCGAGACAAAGAATTATTTTTGGAAGAGACACTGAAAGACTGTTGAATATGACAGTCTTGCTCATGTATTGTTTGTGAAAATCCAGGTGCAGAAGGAGAGGTAGTGGTTGGCATCTTGGAACGTTTCTGGCCTCGCAGAACTGTTGCCACCAGAGGTGTTGTATCACAGGTCGAAATAACTTCCAAAGGTTTTCTCAATGGCCCTTGTTCAGCAAAGGTCAAAATCTCTGTTTGATTTTGAATATCACCATCACTTCCTTGTGTAACTGGTGGGGCAGGTGGTGGTTCACCACGAGGAGGGAGTAACACTGATGGTGTTGGAAGTTCTTCTAATCTTAAAAGCTGGGAGGGTGGATTACTTATCTCAGTTGGCGGCACACATCCTATTCTATTATTCTTATCTTCTAATGAAACATCAAGAGAATGTTGCTTACAAGTGCTTGTATCTTCTGTCATTTGGCTATGTGATGAATTTTTTAAACCTGATTTTTCCTTTGAAGAATTACTTGCCCTGGCATCTTGACTAGAAAGATTTGACAAGTCTGGCACATTCAAATTATCTTTACCTTCACCTGGACCAGCAGATCTAGAATACATTTCTCGAAACTCATCTGCTGAGATTTCATCTAGTTTCTTTGGTGATCGAGATTTGTGTTTTGATGCCCATCTACCTTTCAGTGAGAATTTTGACAGGAATCCTTTCATTTTAGCTGTGCTACCCTGAGTTCCTGAGTGTACTGTCCCTTCAGAGTTTAATTCAACCACAGAAATGGGCTGATCCTGAACAGACTGATTAACCCTTGTAGGAGGAGGTTTCACTTCACTTGACCCCTGATCGCATAGTCTCCATCCAGTTTTCCCTGGTCTTTGTAATGGCTGAAGACTGTAATGATGGGCTGGCAGTGAGAATGATTTTACTTTGGTTTCTCGGATCAGATCAGGTTCAAGATATCTTGAGCTTTTTACATCGATACTCTTGACTTGAGTCTCCTGTGGTGAAGGGACATCAGACACTCTATGCTTAATCTCTTCTCCAGCAGACAAGTTTAATTTCCAGACACTTCTTTCATGAGATAAAGTGGAGGGATTATGATGGTGTTGAGATCTTGAAGAATAATTTAACTTTTCTGTTAATGCACTTTCCTGAGTTTCATTTGGACCCTGTTTTTTTTCTTGGCTATTTGATGAAGTGACATCTCCAGAAGAGGATCTTTGGTGTGCAGGTATAAGCTTCTGTTTTGAAGTAGAAGAACAAGACCTGTAATCCTTTTCTGACTGCACAGAGCTGGAGGAACTGTTTCCATTCTCTTTCTTTTCTATTCTACAACCTTTGATATTTTTAGTTTTTTTACCAACTTTAGAAATTTCTTCATTTTCACTACTGGATGGTTCTAAGACTTCTATTACTGAACAAGTTTTTCCTTCCTGCCGTAGTTCAGGATTTCTTTCAAACAAAGATTGGAGACTTGTGTCCTCAATCTCTTGTAATGTTACTTTGGCACCAGATGAGGAAGATGAAGATTTCATTGGAAAAAATGGTTTCTTATTATCTTTTATCTGCTCCTTTCCATGTCTGCTTTCTTTGTGAGAATTCACTTTTAACCTCTCTCTGTTTGGACTGTTGGTTGATGCCATATCAACATCTAGTATGCTGCTTAATGACCTGGAATTACGTGGAGTCCAAGGGTTACTGGTTGAACAATATGAAGTTGATGATGTTGGTAAGTCTAAATTCTGTACACTTTGTACTTCCTTATGTAACTGAAAATCTTTATGCTTATCTTCTTTTTGTGACTGAAATGTTTCAATTATGTTTTGCTGTTCTTCTTCTTCACTTATCAAGCTATCAAAAGAAAGAGTGCTCTCAGAAGATGACATTATCCTTGTGGCTATTCCTAACGTTGGACTGCTCAACTTGGCAAGAATTTGAGCAAAATGTGACCTTGAAATGAAAGAAAACAAATGACTATATTGATCCATTATTAAATATAATATACATATATAAATGTAAGAAGGTTCAAAATTTTTGTTAATATGTTGATTAACTTATAAATTACCAGCAATTTTATACTAGTGAATGGCTTTAATACACATGCAGGTACATTAAATATTCTAGTCAAGTCCTCCCCCTCCATTTAGAAAATACATGCATGAAATTAAGAAAATCTTAAACTTTACTGGCGTTTTATCTATATTTTCAACTCTTTGTTTGGATGGTACTTTCAGCATTTATTTTCTCACACAAAAGGAGAAAAAGTGAAAAAGAATTGGGTTAATTATAATAATTCAAATATCATGTCCCAGATAAAATAAGCCTTAAACTATTTTCGTGGGATTTTAATACTGCACAAGATTAAAAATAGTGATAATCCAATTATTTCTTTTAATAATCCAACATTTAATTTAGAAAGAGTAACTTAGGAGCTAGTTAATTTTTTTTTTTTAACAGATCTTTCCTACACACCTGAGTAAAACTGTTCATACCCACAAATATCTCTTTGCAACTTACAATAAATTAAAGGTTATGTTTTTCAAACTTTTAAGTTAATAATAAAATTTATCTAATTTACCTCAAAATATCTAATGGTAACCTTTTCTCCTCCAGCCCTTTATTGGGTCTCATCCTCAGTCTCCTCCACCTCTCTTCTGCTATCTGAAGTCTTGTTTCTTCTGTAGGCAGAATGTATGTGAACCATCTTCTAAACTCTTCTTGTACTAATCCTTTACACACAGACATATTTTTTTCCACTTCTTCAGAAATGTTCCTGAAAAAAAAAATATATATATATATTTTTAACAACTAACATATCACAGTTCAAAGTATAGCAACCTGTATATATGAAAAAAAAATGCTCAACAAGAAAATCAGATGAAAAATATAAATGACAATTGTAAGGCTACAGTATAACAGTAACAGTGAAAGATGGTGATTGGTCTAGAGACTTTGTGAATAGAGGGTGTATGACATTATTATATATGTAAGTTATCACACAAAATGAGGCTTGCATGAGGTTAAAGTTGCAAATAAGTGGGAGTAGTATAGAGGAATTAACAATAGGTTTTATTTTAGCACAAACAAGAGATATAGTTTCTGGTTATAGTAAAGGTATAATATCACATTCTAATTTAACTAAATTAAAATTTTCCTTTTTAAGTGACCACATAAAATAAGAAAATCTAGTAACCTAAATATTTTGGAAAATAACACTTTTTTTTTTATCATGTTATCTTTGATGAAAGTCTATTTTGGGTAAGTGAGTTTCTTTAATTAAGTTGTCATTACTTTTGTGACCTTTTATCTTTTTTTTTGTTTTTCAAACATAACCCCAAAAAACATTTTGATCTATCCCCTCCTTTTTTTTAATGTACATGTCTAAGAGGTTCATGAATATGATTGGCAGGTATCTAAACCTTATATGTAAAGAAAGTGTGAATTTATGACCCACTCTCCCACACTTTTTGACTACTAATCTTTTCCACAACATTAATTATGTTATGCTTTTGCCTGATATAACATTCAGTGTAAAGAATTAACTAAAAACACTGGTTGAAATAGCTCATTTTCAATGTATCATACACACTACAGCAGTAAATATTGGGATCAACAGCAGTATTAATGGAATTTTTGTTTACTTTTATTTTTTGTGTTTAAGTCATATTACTAAAGACCCTATAATCAACAAAGACAGCAAATTGGTGCATAAATAGTTTAGAAAATGAGTTTTTAAAAAAATAGATGGCATTCATGGACCCCCATCGGTAATTTTGGGATAAAAACAAAAATACACAAAAATTCATGGTTTGATATTGCTACAACACAAAATTATTATATACATAAACATTGCATATTTTTTAAACACCAAAACTCATATCCGTTTAGTAAAAAATTTGCTCACCCTGAGTTCTTAGGTTCTTTAGTTAGTTTTCCATTTCTCTCATCCTTTCCATTCCCCTCTTCTAATAGACTTGTATCAACTGGGTCCTGGTCTTTGTATATTATTCTAAAGTTCTCCAACATATCTCTTTGTTGTTTGAGGAAATGTTTGGATAGGTACAATAACTGAAAATAAAATATAAATATATTTTATTAAATATAAATATTTTATAAGTCAATACCACTTAGCTGACTTGAGTTCAAAGTGCTTGAAAATCTATCAATTGTAAAGCATGTTCACTCCAAACACCTTTAATAAACTAGTTCCACTCTAGACTGACTTCACGTTTACAGGAACAGTGTACCATTTTAAATACATATATTATAAATTAATTTTGACTCCAACTCTGTATTCTCTCAACAACAACAGTTTCAAACCAACTCAAATAAGTAGGGTATCTGGAAAGTATTGACAATGCACCTAATCTTAACTTGCCTTCTGTAGAAAATAACAAGTTTTTGCCATCATTAATTAATACAGGAACTATATATGCATAAAAAGGGTATAAAAACATTCAGGGTATGGGAAGGATAAAGTAATTATAAATAATTTTAATTCCCCACAACAAAGACAAAATCAACTGATGAGCTGATAAACAAAAGATTAAATTCCATAAGTAAATAAAGTAGAGTTAATCTACAAATGAAGTAAAAGAAAGAATCAGAAATAAAATTGCAAATAATGTAACATATTTTTTTTAAATGAACAGTGACATACTTTTTGTACAGTATTATATTTATTTATGGTACAAATATGACACTACAGTACGAACATGTTAAGATGAAGTTTTTTGATAATTATTAATTACATCCTTAACTTAAATCTGGAAATACATAATAAAAACATGGCAAAGGTTTACATCATTAGAAAACTATCCCTATCATCATGAACCTAATAATTGAACTTTCACGTTTAGAAATTATGCATGAAGAAGACATAAGGTCCCTCCCTGGGGGTAGGGGGTTACATAGGAATGTCACTCTGAAGGGGGGGCCCTAAGGGCATATGCCAGGTTTGGTGGCAATAAATCCAGCAGCTTGACAGTTATAAGCAAATGCATACAGACTTTTGTCAAACAACAGTTTAAAATAAGTAAGCTATCATTAAGTTTATTTCAGTCACCATTTGTGATATCACAAGGAATAATTTTGCAAAATGTTCTTACCATACAGATTACAGCTGAAAACTGAGTTGAGAAGTTTACTTAAATTATAGTAAATTAATACTGAACATTTTCACTCTAAATACTGATGTTGTACTTAAGTGATTTATGTGTTTGCACTTAACCCATTTACTACAACTGCTCTAAAAGCTTGCAGAATTTTTGCAAGCCATACATTGTTTACGGCACACTTGCATTCAACTGCCAGAGGTGGTTAAGGACATTTTACAACTGATTCATTTTACACAAGGTTTCTAATTTTTAAAATTCATATAAATGATAACTGAATACAGAGTTATAATAGTTTGAATTTAATAACTTCGATTTTAAACTAATAATTCAAGCTTTGAAGTTTTTAAAATATTTCATTTTTACACAAAATAACATCACTATTTGATATCTCTAATAAATTAAGGAAATTGTTTGTTTCTGCAAAAATACTAAAAAAATTTACTTTTATGTTTGCTAATTTTATAGTTCTTGCACAGTGTTTCCACATATTAAAGTTACAAAGATAACAACCCACCACCAACAATTTGGTTACTCTTGTCTGATAAATTAACAAGATTTGACCACCACTTTTATAGCACCAACAAGGTCCAAACAAAGAATCCTCAGATTCACAATTTAGTACTGCTATGCAATACCTGGCCCAAAATTACACTTAGCTAAAACAAAAAAAAAATCTGAGTCAGATATATTTTAAAGTTATAGAAATAAAAGACATCATAAAAATGTACATACTACTTACCTCTTTAAACTGTGACTTCAATTCCATATGTTCTGAGAGTAAACTAAATGCAATAAACAAAAAAAACTTCAAAAACTGTTGCAAATACAAAATAAGTGTTTTTAACATAAGCTTGCTTCTCTGTGTCAGCTATTGAAATTTACATGCAAAACTTCCTGTTGGTAAAAATGTATTCTCAATTTTCAGACAAAACATAACCTTGCTTCATAGTGTCTGAAAATCATGTTTTATTTTGTTTAATGGCATAATTTAAGCAAATATTATTTTTAATACACATTCACTTTGATTCAAAGTTACTTTTCGCACATGCAGTGATCATATCAACTTATTTGTGCCTAATCATTATTGGTCCTTGTTGATGGAAACATATCGGTTCCGTATATATTTATCAACTATTAATCTAGTTTTGTAGATTACTCTGAAAATGAAAATGGCTAGTCATAGCTAAACTTGGAAAATCAATTCCCCCAATAGTTTTAATAAGTGTGTCTAATTTTCTAGGATCGATGAATGTTGATTTGCAAATGGTATATTTTGTTCCATGAAACAATTACACACACATTACAAATCCAAATATTACAAACAAATAAAAAGTAATTAATAACACATATAATGATGATTAACATTTTAAAACCTCTACATTTTAATGGACAACTTTTTTATTTCATCAAAACTAACTTCAAGTAGTCTCTTTACATTAAACAAATGAAGCATAATGCACGATTTCACAGAATTGTGTACAGTGAAAAAGATAAAATTTAATATAATCAAAATGCTACTTTTATTATCCCTACTCCTGAAATTAATACCAAGCTCTTATAAGTAAACACTGTATTAATATTTTATTAAAACATGTAGACTAAACCATAATATTGTTAATTGCTATGTACTGTGTAATAATATCGTTGTGAAACAAAAAATATTACAGTAGGTAACTCTAGCCCTTTTCTTGAGATGGTTCATTTCCACTTTGGCATCTAGAAAAACATCCCCGAATAATCTAAGACTAACTTGCTATACAAAAATCAAGGTGATAAACAGTGATTTTTAGAAAACTGATTACTCTTCAGAAACCCACTTATATTTGTAAATAACAAATAATTATAATTCTGAATAAACTAGCAATTTTACACACATATTAACTCATAATCAAAATTATTGTTAATTAAAATTCAATAATCTTTACAGAACTAAACTTTTATCAGAAAACCTACTTCTCACTAAACCAGTGATATTAGATAACTTGTATGAAAATTCTGAAAATTTAAGTTATTCAGTTATGAAAAAAAACTAACTTGTTTCACAAAAATCTAATTTTAAAACAATATCCAATTACTTTAGAGAACTGTTAATAAACTATGGGATTTCTATAGAAGATCTAGCCTATAATACACCGGAAGAAAAGAAACTTATTGTTAAAAATACTCTTTAATGGCAATTTTTTATAAAATGATTTTTATTACTAGCCTTTCAGAGATGAGATTACAACTTACTACTGTACATCTCCTTCTAATAAGAGATGCTCTGCCGACAAGGATAGACAGGATTCCATAGCTATCAAGTAATCTGCACACGGATGATGCTCACTGTGGATTGCAAGATCATAAGGCCTTAATCCAAGCTCATTTTTAGCTGTAATGTCTGCACTGTGAAGAATAAGAGCCTATAGAATAGAAAAATATAACTTGTATTTTTTGTGATTTATACACATACTTATATATTAATAAATTTATGTGTTTATGCACAAGTTTGTGCTTCATTAAGACCGTTTACTGGGGGGAAGAAAAAGGGTCACATAACAAACTTTTCATGTAAATAAGTACGTTACATTTGGAATATAATGAAATGTAAACTAAAATATAGTAAACACTTGTATGAAGGTTGTGGCAATCTGATATCAAATGTTGTCATGATTATTAGCCTACATGATCATCTAAGTTTAATTTTTGATTTTTTTAATGATAGCTGCAATATACACTATCCTACCAAAAGTCATGGGACACGGCCTTAATAACTGCTCCCATGTGTCGTGGAAGACTGTCTACCAATTTCTGGTAGAAAACTGGTGGTGTTGTGCTCCACTCCTCCTTTAAAGCATTAGTATGCTCCACTACTGAAGAGAGCCATCTTGGCTCTGCCCTAATTCTGCATGCCAGTTCATCCCAAAGATGTTCTATCTGGTTGAGGTCAGGGCTCAGTGCTGGCCACTACAATGTTATTCTCTTCAATCCACAAGTTCACAATCCTTGCTTAACGACATGGAGCACTAGCATGTTGGAAGGTGAAGGAGCCAGTACCATAAAATAGTCACAATGTTGGACACACAAAATTGTTCAGAACATCAATGTAGGACTCAGCATTCATGGATCCATGCACTGCAACCAGTGAACCTAGTCCATACCATGAGAAGCACCCCCCCCCCCCCAACCATGATACCACCACCTCCATACTTCAGTGTTAGGATAACACACTTAGGTAATAAGCATCCTCCATACCCAAACATGTCCATCAAACTGGAAAGCGTGTAGCATGACTCGTTGCTCCACAGGACCCAATTCCATTGATCCATGGTCCAGGTTCAGTGTGCCTTGCCCCATGCCAATCAATGTTTTTGTTATCAACAGATTATGGGCTGCAGCTCTTCCGTAAAATTCATGTGTCATGGAAACACTTACAGGATTGCCTGTGGCTGCTCGCATCTCCAAACTCAAGGTGTGTCAGCACCTGTCAGTGAGTATTTTATGCCTACTTGGTCGTTTCTTGGGCTCATTATCACCTGTGGACTTCCATTTCTTCGGTATGTTGCCAATTGAAGACCTGGGAATGTTTAATTGTTGCCCAATGACATGTACAGACATTTTCCCCAAATGACATCCAACTATCCTTTCCCTCTGATACTCTGTTAGCTCTTTCCATGTATTCACTGTTCGGTGTACAAATTCGAGATGACTTCAGCACAAACCACTCATCACCTTTATAGGCCAAACTCTTTGCATATTTCATCGTCACATTTTCCTGCAATCAGAGTTGTGTCCCATAACTTTTGGTAGGATAGTGTACTTCAGTATATTACATATATTTCATAATACATTTTATAAACACTTGGGGCACATAAAAACCAGTAATCCTATGTACAGAAATAATACATTTCAACGTATTATATGAAATATACATTTATACTGTATGTATTTTGTTTGTTTCAAAATTTTCACATAATAATCTGCAAATATCCATCACTAATTTTGAACTTATCAACTAGTGGGAATCCAGCACAGCCACTAATTCTTGGACTACATCTAGCTGACTAAATGAACCCTCCATGGTCTGAGCACATTAAAAACTAGGCCATACCCTGTCCATTGTTTTTGTAATTAGTAGTTACTTTTTAGTCTACACATTTGCCCATGTTTAATATTAATATTACCCATATCGGCTATCCCATCCTCTAAACTAAACTAAAACTATTAACAAATAAATTTAAAAAATTTTAAAGCCAGCCCTTATCATTCATATACTTATTGAGCTTTCTCTTAAGCTCATTTAAATTTACTGCATCCACAACATCCAAAGGCAACCCATTCCAAAGACCAACCACCCTGTTAGAAAAATAAAACTGTCTTAGCTGAAGATGACTCCTACTCTGGTAAAATTTATATTTGTGTCCACTAGTCTTACTATTCTCACTGTTAAGTATGAAAAAAGATGATACATCAACACTATCAATTCCCTTTACAATCTTAAACACCTCAATCAGATCCCTTTTAACTCTTGTTTTTTTCAATAGAAAACATTTTCAGAGATCTTAACCTCGTACGACAACCCCTCCATCCCAGGCACCATTCTAGTAACCCTTCTCAGAACCCTTTCCAACAATTCAATGTCTTTCCTAAGTAAGGAGCCC